TTTCATAAACATTTCCCTCCCCCATTTTCAAAGCAGTCTTGATTAAGTAGGTAGCTGTCTTTTTCTATACATGTTTCTATAGAGGAAACATATTGAGAGGTAAATGTATTCAGCAAATTAACTATGAGAGCTCAGACTTGAACCTGGCTTTTAGTATCTTCACAGTTACTCAGTCATCTCTAGAACCAATTTTAGAATATTTCCATCACGCCAGAAAGAAATTCCATACCATTAGCAGTTACTCTCCAGTTTCCCTATCCTTCCTTTCCCAGGACAACTGCTGATCTACTTCTGTAGAAAGATTTATCTATTTGTAGACATACCATGTAAAAGGAATAATACAGTATGTGGTCTTTTGTGACTAATTTTTTTCACTTAACATAATCTTTTTAAGGTTTCATCCATGGTATGGCATGTATCAGTATTCATGCCCTTAAAATGCTGAGTGATAACACATTGTATGGACTTATTTCTCATTAATCATTTTATTTACTGGTCATCATCTTCTTTACTGTTTTATTTGTATTCATCTGTTTATATACTCTGGGGTTGTTTCTGGTTTTGGGTTAATTTGATTGATTAGTATAAGTTTTTGTGTGGACACATGCTTTCATTTCTATTGATTATATAGCTAGAAGTGAAATTGCTGCTTTATATGGTAACTATGTTTAATCTTTTGAGGAACTACTAGTCTGTTTTCCCAAATGGTTGCACTGTCTCGCTTTCCCTCAATTTCTTGATTGTATTGTTCCAACCCATATAATCCAGTGAAATCTGTGTTCTGTGAGTTGGTTTACATGCCTCTAAAGCCAGGGCAGCACATGCTTCCTATTACTGATTTACAGGGACACATAATTGCCCAAATCAAGGTAAGCAGTGGGCCATGAGTAGTAAAAAATTAACTATTAACATATTTTCCTCCCCGCCTTTTTTTTTCCCCACAAGACATGATTTGAGTGATATTTTCTCTACTTCTACTTGTATTTGTCTACTTACTTATATTTGTTCTCTATAACTGAATTGGCACTGTAATAAATAAAAAGCTGAAAATATGTATGTCATTGCAAAATCCATTATAATATATTCTTAAATTTTGTCCCAGGACCTTTCCTGGGGGCAGGGGGGAGTTCATTAAATTTGTTGGCTCCGCAATTCTTATAAAGTTAATACTATAAGTTAGATTCTTCAGTGTGCCAGTGTTATTTGTATGGTTTGCTCTTTGCCGGCCATTGACTATTTTGGTTACTCAGCTAGTCAGTTTATAAATGCATTGCTTTCATCCAAAGAGCATCTTTGATGAGCTAAACCTGAATTCATTCCCACTATTGGAAAATTTCATTATCCTCTCACCTTCTTTAAATAGTGTCATCTTCAGGTGGGAAGGACACCACATTTTATATCCAGAGCCTCTGCTTTGTCATTTGTGATATTATTGCAGGTGAGCTAGCTAGTTGAATTTTTCTTTTGCTTGTCAAAGCACCATTTTCCAGTATTATTTTAAGTCATCTCATTTCCCCCCACCCTTTTCTGTAAGGTTATTTTGTCACAGTATGTATATCATCTGGGAATCCCTTGACTTCCAGGCTTATGTTATCTTTTATTATGTGGGGTTTTTGTATAATCAAGTCTGTTTTCTCCTGTATGGCTTTTGAATTTAATGTTATGCTCAGTAAAGGTTTATATATCTAAGTGTATATGTGCATGCATGCACACACACGTTTCCTGTTTCTAGGGTTTGTTTTGGTTTAGTTTTATCTGTTTTTGAATCTGGAAATGAAAAATATTAAATAATAAATTATTTGTAATGCCTTTTTTTAAAAAAAAATTATTGGTACCTGTAAAAGTTAAAGCAACATTAAATGTGTGTAAGGAAACAAGAACATTTGCCTTTATTTATTTTATCATGAGAAGTAGATGACCAGGAGAAATTTTAGGGACCTTGTGTTTATCTTCTTTGAAAGGTTAAATTTAATCATACTGTATCACTATTCTGTTTCGGTTGTTTAAAATTATCTAGTAGCATTTCTATCTTCTGTTGTTGTTTTGAAATACTTTAAGTGTTCGTAAATTGTATGTCTTGAGTATACTCAGCATGCTCCTACTCTATTCATTTTGAACCGAGAAAGCTCTAAATCTGGTTCTTTTTAGTATGAAAGCAGGAAGCTCATTAGTATTAGCCTTTGATCTTCCATTTGTGGATTCTTAAACTGTTTCAATGGAAATGTTTTTATATCTGAAGGAATATGAAGATGAAATAATGGGGGAACAATAATGCAAAGAATATTTTTTTAATTAATGATATCCTGTTAAAAATGTCTTTGTTTTTTTAATGTAAGTTATTTATACACACTTATGTTGAATAAATGAGTCAGTGATAACCAGATTGCCCATACTTACTGTTTGATAATATAATCAATATAATTGTGTTTCAGTTAAAATTTGAAATAGCTAGTGTATGTCCATGTTTGAATATTTTATTCTGGTAAACATTCCACCTTGAATCTGGGGGGAACAAAAGCGTTCTTTTTTAATTCAAAAGAACATCATGTGAAAAACAAGTCCATCTCTAACTCTATAGTATAACAAGGGTTATTAATTAAAAAATCACTACATTGCTGTGTTTCTCTTTTTGCAGGTAAAAAAAGCCAAGATGCAAGAATCAGGAGAACAAACTTTAAGGTATGTAAAGTTTAATTTTCTTAAATAATCTACTTATAATACTTTTATAATTTGATTAGTATGTGAATATGGGTTAACTACTCTAGTTATTTTTTATGTTTGTATATTTATCGTTTTTTGATACATGATCATTAACGATTATTTTTGCAATGTTACTTGTGACCAATTTTTTAAAAAATTATTATTTGAGGTAATTTTGGCTTTTAATGCAGTAGCTGATTTAGGGGAATAGGTTCATACCACAACACACCTGTCACCAGAGCACACGTAGTGCTCCACCATAGCCGCGAGGTCCCTTCTCCCTCTAAACAGCTTCACTTCTGCAGTCATATTTCCAGAGTTGGTTTTGGTTTAGTTTTGGCTGTCCCTTTGTTTTATTTTTCTATATTCCACAGATGCATGAAATCATCTAGAATTTATCTTTCTCCTTCTGACTTACTTCACTTAGCATTCTCCCCCAGTTCCATCTCTGTTGTCACAAATGTTAAGATTTCGTCTTTTTCTTATCTCTGAGTAGTACTGTGTTTTGTATATTCACCTCATCTTGTCTTTATCCATTCTTCTGTTGTTGGGCACTTAGGTTGTTTCCATAACTTGGCTATTGTAAATAGTATTGCAATGAACATATGGATGCATATATGAAGGATTTGTTTGCTTAATTGAGCAAAGATTCTTAAGGACTAATTGATTGTTTTTTCAGCTCCTGTAGGCAAAGTTCACTTCTGTTCCAAATTATGAGAAAAGTTAATTGATCTGTTCCAGGTTCAGATTTCCTGTTTTTTCCCCCCAACCCTGCTCCACCTGTGCTCAACTGGACACACAGTGGCTATGGAACTTCAGGAGACTTCCAGACACTCAGGGTTTCAGGCGGCCCCAGACCTGTGAGACCACTGCAGGCCTACAGCTCCTAGCAGCTTTCCTAGAATCTTTCTAGGCCCAGCCTTTCTCTAACCTCAACAGTGGCAGAGCTCTAGGGGCCTCCTGCTTGTTGCCCAACACCAAAAAAGGATGCTGGCCAAGTGTGGGTCACACAAGACTTCTGTGAGCTCAACCACTGCGTCACACAGTTGGACTTTGTCTGCAGTCCAGCACATGTAGGAGGAAGTTCACACCTTACTAGAGTACTTCCAGCTCATTCTGAGCCCAGTGTGTCCGTCGACTTCCCATAGAGTCAGAAGCAGATGCTCTGGGTGCTTCAAAGGGCTCCATGTTGAAAGCAGTGATGGCCAGGGTCTCCACCAGATTTTGGCCCTTCAGGTTGTACAGGAGCATGGTCTTGTCAGCTCAGTCAGGGCCCCTCAGTCCACCTTAGGACTTGGAATTCACAGAACCCATGGTGGTCACTGTTAAACCCCATAGTGTTGGTAACTATGACTGAAAACGCCTCTGTGGTTCTCCTCTGCCGTGTAGTAACTTCTGCTAGTCATTAATGTCCCTAGAGCTAGATGTGAAGGAAATAACAGTGTCTTTGTTTCTTTCCTCCACTTTTTAGTTCTTAATATCAATCTTCACATTTTGAAATTAGTTTAAAATAGTTTTCCTTCAAAATAGTTTGTCTCATCTTCCCAAGATGAAGCCATAATCATTAAAAGTAAACTCTCATTTCCCCCCTTCTCCAATATCTGGCAACCACTATTCTACTTTCTGTCTCTGATCTTGATTACTCAGAGCTTACCTCATATTTGAAGAATCATACAGTTTATGTCTTTCTGTGACTGGCTTATGTCATTTAGTAGAATGTCTTTCTCTGTGTTGTAGCTTGTATCAGAATTTCCTTTTTAGGGCTGAATGATACGCCATTGTATGACTCTACCACGTTTTGTTTATCAGTTTGTCTAATGACAAACTGTTGTTTATTGATAGTTCTGTTGGCAAAGAATGAGTTATTTGTAAAGCTTGTTTTGTTCTTTTATTGGGAAGCTGTTTTGTTTATTTTTTTTATGTAGAAGTACTGGGGTATAGGCCAGAGGTGGGGGTGGGTGGGGTGAGTGAGAAGATTCACCAGAGGCAGATTTACTGAAATACACTGCTGAGGGGAAGCAGCAAGCACAACAGGAGAGATCTACTGTGCCATATGTAAATTAGCTCCCTGGCTGGGGATTAAACTCAGGCCACTGTGATGATAGACCTGAGATTTAACCCTAAATTACCAAGGAAGCCCCTGCCATTCTGCTTTAAAGCATCTTTTTGTGTGTACACTATTAAACAAAATTCATGTTTGTATAACTGAAGATAATTACACATTGAGTCAGTATATACATTTTCAGGAGATACTAATTTCAAATATTTAACTATCTAAAATTGTGAGTCAATTCATTGTTGGCAAGGTTATTTCTATTTAATTTCTAATCACTATTAGTAGGTAGTATATTTTGCTAGAACATAAAATTCCTGGGTCATAAAACTTTAGGAACTGGTATATTTTATACTGAACTATACAAATATATCTTCTAAGATACAGGATCTAAAAAGCCCTTCACCAGTAACACTGAATCCTAGACATATTCAAGTATATGTGGAAGACAAGTAATCATTGTAAACAAAAAAATGTAAATTTCTTGTTCAGCCTTATTTATATCCAGCTTGAAATTCTATTTAATTAGACATGAGAAGGGTCCAGCAGTCTGTATTTTTGCCAATACTTACATAACTGTAATAGGGTAGTTTGGGAAACTGATCTAATTACTCAATTGAGTTTTTCACCAGTGCCCTTTAATTCCCATAGTCTTTTGGTTAATATATTAAGTACTGTTCTAAAAACAAGTATTTTATTAAATAGATAAAAATAAGTATCTATGGGTTTAGCTTTAAAAATTAATCTGAGGGGGAAAATTTTGAACATTCTGAATATACAAAGAACAAGGAAATTTTGTTGATATTATACTGGAAGAATTCCATCTAGTAATGAAATGAGAACTTTGAGAATTTTTGTACTATGAACTTTTTAAATAAGTAACATTTCTTTTTAAAATTTTGCTATGTAGAAACTACTCTTAACACTTACTAGTCTTATCTTTACCAAGATATGGAACCTCTGGTAGGATGTCCTATACTCCCTAGCATGTAGAACAACAAAGCAGATTTCTTTCTAGGTGGGAAGGAGTGTGGGTTGGGAGGGAGTTGTAATATAATAATACCAGTAAGTTATATTATTCTTACTCTGTTCTAGTCTTTGCTCTAAGTACTTTTCACCGCTTAATTCATTAATCACTATAAGAACCCTCTGAGTTAGGTTCTGTTATTCTTTATTGGTACTGAAAAAATGGTGACTTGCCTAAGGTTATAAGGCTAGTTACTGGCAGAGTGGAATATCAACTCAAGTAATCTAGTTCTAGAATCTTTAGCCAGTATGCTATACTGGTAGCAGAGGGAATAACTGGAGGGTGGAAAAAAGGAGGACATTGTAAGAGATGAAAATATAATCTCCATTCCATTTTCAGCAACAATCTTCCCTACATTAAATGTCTGACATATGGGAAAACTGGATAGTCACAAGCCAAAAAATGAAGACCACTCTCTCACACCATTCACAAAAATTAACTTACTATGGAGTAAAGACTTGGATTTAAGACCTAAAACCTATGTAAACAGGCATAATACTTCATGACATTGATCTTAGAACTGGGTTTTCAAGTCAACTTAAGTGGCAAGGAAAACAAAAACAAAAGCAAAAGTTGACTGTTGGGGATACATCAAACTAAAATGCTTCGCAATGAGAGAAACTGCTGTTAAAATGAAGAAACTTCCTACTGAGTGGGTGAGAATTTTTGCATATCATATATCTGAGAAGGGGTTAATATCAAAGATATATAAAGAACACATACAGCTCAACAACAAAAACGAATAACCTTGTAAAAAAAATCACAGGAGATCTGACTAAACACTTCTTCAAAGACTATGTTTAGATGGCCAACAGGCACATGAAAAAATGTTTATCATCCCTTATTATTAGGGAAATGCAAATCAAAAATATAGTCCCACACATGTGAGAATGATTTGTATCAAAAAGACCAGCAACAACAAATGTTGGTGAGGTGTGGAGAAAAAGGAGCCCTTGTACGCTGTTGGTGGAACATAAATTAGTACAGCCTGTGAATAACAGTATGGCACTTCCTCAAAAAGTCAAAAATATACCTGTTGTATAATCTAGCAGTTCTACTCCTAGTATCCAAAGACTATAAGAACACCAATCCATTTATGTAATGTATCACCACATATGTTTATTGTAACTGAGCATTATTTCCAGTTGCCAAGATTGGGAAACAACCTAAATTCGCATGGATCATGCGACAAGGATCATGAGACAAGAAAGATGTGGTATATATGACCAGTGTGTGTGTGTGTGTGATAGGTGGAATCTTGCCATTTATAACAATTTGGAGGGAATTAAAGGCTATTATGCTAAGCAAAATAAGTTAAAAGGATAAATGCAAATATGGATGATTTCACTCATATCACATATAAAGAAATAAAACAGGAACAGAGAAAACAAAAACAAAACAAAACCATTTGATTCTGACTGCAGAATTGAGGTTACCCAAAGAAGGGTGAGCACAGGGTGGAGAGAGTCCAGTGGACTGTGGTGGAGGTGATAGTGTGCTGACATACATTTAAGAGATGACCCTGTACACTTGAAGCAAATAATGTTGTAAACCTTTGCTACCTCTATAAAAAAAAAAAAATCTTCTATTATTAGAAAAACTAGGAAACATTTTACTTTATGGTGATAGTGAGTTTCATATAATATATAAGTTGAACAAAAATTTTTTACTGGGAAAGAAGAGAATAATGAATGAACCATTTTAAGATACTTCCTGGAAGCAGGAACTCTTTCTTGGAAGCAAGCATGCATCACTTGGAAAATAACTCAAGTGATTTTGAGAACCACTGCTTGAAATGAGGAATCTCTGCTTTCTTTGGACACTTTGGGAATAAAGTAACAGCAATTTTAGTTGTGGAATTTTTCACTCCCGGTCTTTAGAGAAGGCGTGACTTGCCCATGACAGCTGAAATTTCTGAGTGACATAAAAGCTAAATGGGTCTAGGGACGTGAGAAAAACAGTAGGATGCTGAGGGCACTAATTTCTTCATGTGGCTGCTGAAAACCAAGAATAACATAAAGAAGAATCACTTTGTCTCTTACTTGCATAGACTAGAAGAAATGAGTTTGATTTCATCACTTTTAGTGATGTAGCAAATCAGTTGGGCTAATGTAATTATTTTGGTTTCCCCAGTCAAGTAAGCAACCCTGAAGTCAATGATCAGAAACCTGAAACGTCAAGCCTTGCTTCAAACCTTGCCATGTCAGAGGAAAGTAAGTAATCATATTCTGTGAATGACAGAAGAGGTATTTTTATATTAGGTGATTATTTTCTTTAAAAATCTGATTTCACTGATTGGCTTATTTGTCCCAGAAGCCCAGAAGGCTTTGATTTCCATGTATGTGTTCATCCTTGTGCATCCTGTAAAATTTGTTGAGATAACAACAGAAACAAAATCATATGGATTCTACCAACCCAGGCAGTCACACTTGATGATTTCATTGTTGATCTGAAATTGGAGGTTGGAAAATTAAATGTGCCTTACTCAAAGTCAGAAAAGTTTGTGGCCCTATCTCTGACTGTTACTCAGACCTGGTATTTTCCCATCTTTCTAATAATCAAATGACTTATCAATCTAGGCCAAAAAAGAAAAGCAATTCAGAACCTAATGTTGATACTGGGATATCCAGATCTATTAGATACACCTCCACTTACCAACCCTCATCCTCTCTTACATTAGACAAAAAGTTATAGGGTGTTCTGGGGACTTTTTTATATGTGGAGATATAGGTGTTCCCTAGCATACTTATCTCCTGTATAGTTCCCCCTATGACAAATAGTCCTCCTGAAATAAAATAGCTATATTCTTCCATATTTTTGCTACACTTTAAAAAGAAGAAAAATTTGTCTAAGACATTTAGAAGAAAAGGCGCTTTGTTTTGGAACTATTTCTTCTCAGTGTGATTGTGATTAATCTTATATATTTCTCATGTATTAACTTATAGTGTGACTTTTAAAATGGTATGGCATCAGGTGTGTATATATTATTTCTTCAAAGAAATAATGGTTCCCAAAAGTTAGCATATCCAGGGATCATCTGAAGTGCTTGTTTGTAATGGAGAATTACAGCCTCATCTTCGGAGATACCATTCAGTAGATCTCATATGGATGGAATCTGCATTTTAAAAAATTAGCTAGGTGATTTCTGGCACATATCCAAACTGTTCATACTGTGGGACACTTCTGGTTAGTTGAAAGCACCTCTTCTATTTTTTAAATGTCCCATTTATCACAAGAAAAAAGATCTTCTCCTTACATATTCCAGGGCCAGGAAATAAATTAAAACTTCTTGCTGCTTCCATATAATTTCTCTTACCCCCTTTCCTTCAAAACCTCTAATTTTTTGGGAATCTATATGGATTTCTTCTGCCACTTTTCCTTTTACCTCAGACTGACAGTCAGTTTATCATTTTTACCTCTGTCAAAACAGGATCTCCTGGTGGCACAAGGGGTTAAGTCTAAGCACTATGAAGCTATCAGCAGTCACTGTAGCGTGAGTTCAGTCCCTGGCCAGGGAGCCGACCCACATGGCACAGCAGACCTCTCCTGATCCACCCGCTGCTCCCCTCAGCAGTGTATTTCAGTATAACTGCTTGTTCTGCTCCCCACTCTGTTTCTGGTGAATCCTCTCAACCCACCCCTACCTCCCACACCTCTAGCCTGTGTCTCAGCTCTTGTCTGCACAAATAAATTTTTTTAAAGATATCCTATATATAGTTTTTTTTTAATTTTATAACAGTTTATTTTTACTGCACAAATAACTCCTTTTATCATCCCACTCTCAGCAGGTCTTCAAACCTACCTATGTTTCCGTATTTATCTTTCCAGCTAACTTCTCTTCCAATTTAGTTTGCATATTCAGCTTCTTTTAGACCTCTTCACTTTGATGTCTGAAAGGTTATACTTAAAAGTTGTGAAAACTCTTTATTCCTTTTTCTCCATCAAATCTATTCTAGCCAAAAAAAAAAAAAAAACTGTTCTAGCCCTAGAATTCCCCATTGTAGAAAGTGGCATCACAGTTCCTTCAGCTGATAAAACTAAATCCTAGAAATCATCCTCATCCTGTATTCCTTATGCCTTACATGCAAATCCGTCAGGATTTCCTGTTAGTTTTACCTTTAAAAAATCAAAAGTTTTGGGGGCCCTCCCTGGTGGCATAGCGGGTTAAAACACAGCACTAAGAAGCTAATGCCACTTCAGCATGAGTTCGATCCCCCGCCCAGAGGTGACCCACGTGGCACAGCAGACCTCTCCTGATCCACTCGCTGCTCCCCTCAGCAGTCACCCTTTTACTGCTCCCCACTCTGTCCCTGGTGAATCCTCTCACTGCCTGTGCACCTCTGGCCAGTACCCCAGCTCTGTATGCATAAATAAATAAATCTTTAAAAAAAAATAATTGAAAGTTTTGCCTCATCTCCACTGCTACTATTCCAGTATAGTAGCAGTTGTGCCTTGATTCTAATTCTTTCTTGATTCCCATGTACTGCAAAGATCAGGGTAATTCATTCTCCGAAAAAGGAAAAATTAGCCTACGTTTCCCAGAATGTTTTAAATGTCTTCTAGAACTAGATTAAACAGAAGAAGAGAAAAGTTTGAGTTTTTGAAGGTACTTGTCAGCAGAGTAGGAATCACCATGTAGAATTCAGATGAATTTACCTAACATTCTTTGTGATAGGTGCTAGGAATCAAAGTGATGATGGATGAATGTGATCTGCAGATTTCCAGTAATTATTTGTAAAAACCTTGAACAATTACAGTGGACAAAATCTCCCATGATAAATTCACAGATACTGAGTTGTACTTTCGGGCCTAAATTGATCCCTCATCTGCTGTTTAACAGGTTTCCCTTTTTGAATGAGGCACTCAGAACTCAGCTAGACGTAAGGTTAGTTCACCATTAGTGTCCGCATTCATGATAAAGCAGCCTACAAGTATTGGGGGAAGTTTCTTAAATAGTTCAGAAATCTAGTAAAAGCACTTTATGATATGACTTTCTACAACACAGACTGCTGGTTCTGTCTCCTTGGGGTTCATCAGGGCAGCACATCACTTCCTCAGGTCTATCTCTCCTTTGTTCAACTTAACAGCCTTTCCTACAGAGCTGAAAAAATAGTACTACAGAAGTATACGTTCCTCTTTTTTGCAATGATTATCCACAGTAGTAATTTTCTAGTAAAATTGAGTACTTTTTGTAAGTCATTCATATGGCTTTTTACTCAGAATAGAGCAAGCACAGAATGAACAAACTGAAGAATTATAGTGTAGTTTCCTAAATATGGATAGTTCCCCTGCTCTTCAAGTTTGCCTGTGAGTACAACTGCTAGTTTAGGAGGTTGCTCCATCTTTTTCATGAAGTGACAGAGCAGTGATTCATGAAGGTCAGGAACAGTTAGTGCTGATTCTCTGCTTTTTATTCTAGACCCCTCACATTCCATCTTTTACTGTTCTAAAGTCTCTAAATCCATTATTAAGATGGAGAGATTATCTACTGGCTGTATAATCTTTCTAAATTTCTGATGTGCAAGCTGTATCTGTTACTGAGTTTGAAAGACTATACAGTGAGACACAACTTTCCCATTTCATTTTTGAAGTGTTCTAACTTTTTACTTGATAATATCTGTCTTTCAGTTATGACATGCACCGATTACATCCCTCGCTCATCCAATGATTATACCTCACAAATGTATTCTGCAAAGTAAGTTGATTAATTATTTTTAAAAATCTGTGTGCTTTCTCTCTAGGTTCATTGAATATTTTTACTTTATTTACTATTAAGTTGATATGTAACTTATTTTCTCCAATCTTGTTCTCTCATGCCTCTAAATATAGTCTCTGTAACATCCTTTTGAAAAGTACAATGTTGCATGGAATAGATCGCTGTTACCCAGGAGCTCACTCTGAATGAATAGGCACTAGAAATGCAAAATAGTGTCAGTGATCAGAGAATATCACTGATTGATCTCTTATCACTCCCTTTTTCCTTTATTCTCATTCATAGACCTACAAAAATATCTCAAGCTAGCCTCAGACTGGGACTTTTCAGTCTAATTTTTCTTCAGTTTCTTGTGTTAGAAAGATAAAATGAGGTTCATAAAATTAAACGGGCTTATTACTGTGTTGACTTCACTGATTGGCAACATTTTGGGTCTTTATTGGATAAGATCAGCATTTAAGATACACCAAGTTAATTTTCTTCATATGAATAGGTGAAGAACAGTGTTCATACAAAGCCATCAACAGTGATGCATTGA